TTTGAGTATGTACTGAAGTGTTCTATTTCGCTCTGAAGATGCGGGAGGGAGCACTCAGGGTGTATGAGTGTTAGGAGTACGTCATCTGCAAAAGCAGATACTTTTACTTCCTGGTCTCCTGCCCTGATGCCTTTAATGTTGGCATTTGCCCTGATGGCGTTCAGAAATGGTTCCATCACCAGAACGAATAGTAGCGGCGACAGAGGGCACCCTTGTCTTGTGCCATTACCTATGGCAAAGGGGGGAGAGTCTTGCCCATTGACTCCAATCGTGGCTGATGGTCCTTTATATAGTGTTCTCACCCATCGTATGTAATTGGGGCCGATTCCTAGGGTTTCAAGGGTGGTGAATAGGAAGGTCCAGTCTACTCGGTCGAACGCCTTTTCAGCGTCCACTGAGAGGAGTATTGTCGGTACCCTGGTGGTAGAGGCACCATATATGAGGTTGAGTAGTCTTGTGATATTGTCTCTCGCCTCCCTTCCAGGGATGAAACCCGCTTGGTCTGTATGGACCAAGTCTGGCAGTAGTGTCTTGAGTCGATTGGCAAGGATTTTTGCAAGTAATTTTACATCGAGGTTAATTAGGGAGATGGGTCTATAACTACCACACAGGCTCTGGTCCTTGCCGGGTTTTGGCAGGATTGTTATTGATGCTTTCAGCATCGGGGGTGGTAATTCGGTAGTGGTTAGTAGATTGTTAAGCACTTCTAAATAGTGGGGAGATAGGATGTGTTGAAAAGATTGGTAATATCTGGCCGTTAGGCCATCTGGTCCCGGGCTTTTACCCTTAGGAAGTGTTTTAATTGCTCGCTGCAATTCTTCCAGCTGGATGTGGGAGTCTAATATGGTTGACTGGTGTGAGTCTATTGTTTTTTGGATATGGGAGGAGATATATGTTTTAATATCATGGGAAGGACCTCTATGGTGCTCTAGATTATATAGATTACTATAGTATTCCCGGAAAATTTTGGCTATGTCCTCGGTTTTATCTTTGCGTGTACCGTCTTGCGCCTTTATGTGGTGAGCATTATATTTGATCAAACGCCGTCCACTTTGCAGTCCATGTTATTACATTTTAAAAGCAAATATAACACGAGGTTTAAACGGCAAAAAAGCAGCACTAACCAACCAGCCCGGTTTCATGTCTTTTTGATGTTGTAGGGGGCCTGGGTGACCTTTATTTAATCAGTAATATCTCAAAAAACAATTGCTGTTATCTTAGTAATAAAAGCATAACAAAAAATGTTCACGGCACAAATGCAGCCTAAACAAAACACAATGAATTTTTTGTGTGCCCATTGTTCGCGGGCCGGCTTCACACAGACACATATACTTTGGTCCTTCTCAGCAATATAATTCACTGTAATAAATCTTGTTCTCAATGATTATCTGCTTAGCATGTAGACACACATTGGGCGGGATCATTCTGGACAAAGAAATGTGTTCTCCTCATTTACAACAAATGCTTAGTGCAATGAGAATGAATACTAGTTTATTGGAGTGAATAGAGCTTTTATTTACAGTGGAACCCCATAATGACAAAGCAAAAGCCATTTTTTTTTTTTTAAATAATTTTTTTTTAATTATAATACTGACATACGTATTCAGACCCTTTGTTATGACACTTGACATGTAGCTTAGCTGCATCACATTTCTCTGGATCATATTAAAGATGTTTTCTACACTTGGATTACAGTCCGCCTATGGCAAATTCAATTGACTGGACATTTGGAAAGACCCATCCCTGCTTATATAAGGTCTCACAGATGTAAATTAATATCAGAGCAATAACCAATCTATGAGGTCAAATGAACTACAAGAAATTGATCTTTCCTGGTGCTCCTCCTACCTCTCCCAGCGCTCTTTCAGTGTTTCTTTCTCTGGCTCTGCTTCTTCTCCCCAACTCCTTACTGTTGGTGTACCCCAAGGTTCAGTCCTTGGTCCCCTACTGTTCTCCATCTATACTGCCTCCCTTGGTAAACTCATTAGCTCCTTTGGCTTCCAATATAATTTCTATGTGGATGACACGCAAATCTACCTGTCCTCTCCTGATCTCTCCCCTTCCCTCTTGACTAGTGTCTCTGACTGCCTCTCTGCTATTTCTAACTGGATGGCTGCCCACTTCTTTAAACTAAACTTGACCAAAACTGAAATTTTGGTCTTTCCTTCCTCAAGTGTTGTTACTCCTGTGTCTGTCTCCCTCCAAGTCAACGGTGCTACCATCAGCTCCACCACGCAGGCTCACTGCCTAGGTGTTCTCTTTGACTCTGACCTCTCCTTCAAGCCTCATGTTCAATGTATCGCCAAATCCTGTCATTTCCATCTCAAAAACATTGCGCGCATCTGCCCCTAGTTAACGCCAGATGCGACTAAGGTGTTGGTCCATTCCACTGTCCTTTCTCACCTTGACTACTGTAATCCGCTTCTCAGTGGTCTTACATGCTCCCAACTTGCGCCATTACAGTCCATAATGAATGCGGCAGCGAGGCTCATCTTCCTGTCCTCCCGCACCTCCCATGCCTCACCCTTCTGTCAGTCCCTACATTGGCGTCCTATAAAATATAGAGCTCAATTCTGGTTCTTGCTTTCAAATCGCTACATAATGCTGCTTCCACCTATCTATCCTCCCTCTATACAAGTCTAGGGCCTTACGATCTGCTGAAGACTTACGTCTATCTTCTGTCCATACTCCCACCTCTGATGCTCGCCTTCAAGATTTCTCGAGGGCTGCACGTTCCTGTAGAACTCACTTCCCTCCTCTGTTACATGCTCACCCAGTCTTCACTCCTTCAAAAAATCGTTAAAAACCCACTTCTTCATAAAAGCGTATCAATTAAACTGTTAATAGCTCCTGGCTGATTTCTCTTCTGCAACTGTCACTAGTCTAATACTATCCTTACCTTTTTGTGTCATTTTACCCCACTCCCTCTAGCATGTAAGCTCATTGAGCAGGGCCCTCAACCCTTCTGTTCCTGTGTGTCCAACTTGTCTGGTTACAACTACATATCTGTTCGTCCACCCATTGTAAAGCGCTGTGGAATGATGGCGCTATATAAATAACATAATAATAATAATAACTGCCTGTATAGTTCAGAGACAGGATTGTGTCAAGTCACAGATCTGGGGAACACTACAAAAACATTTTAGCTGGATTGAGGGTTCCCCACAGTGGCCTCCATAATTCTTAAATGGAAGAAGTTTGGAACAACCAGGAATTTTTAGAGTTGGCAACCTGACCAAACTAAACAATTGGGGAAAAAGAATCTTAGTAACACTCTGGGCAAGCTCACAATGTGACATTTCAGATTTTTCTTTTTACTACATTTGCAAGAAAAGTGTGGCTTTTGCTTTGTCATTATGGGTTTTCATACTTTGTATGGGGACTTAATGTTGGTTTCCACAGACACAAGACACTATCTTAATGATATGGGACTACCGCATTGTATTCTTAACATTTGTTGTAACGTTTAAACAAAATGCTGCTTGATTCCAGTGAAAATTTGAAAAGATGTCTTTGCTACCTCTCACAGTTTCATGAGGACATTGGTGGCATGGAGGGCATTTCACATGATTTGGGACACAACGGAGTTCAGACCCAAGAACAAGGAGAGTGGTCAGGATGTTGAAGCTGTAACAATGAATGCAGGATCAGCCACTAAACCTGCATCAGATATGATTATTTTTTTTCCTCAATAGATGTGCAAATAGTTAAATGGATCCGAGTTAATTAACAAACAGCTGTTTAAAGTATTAGAACAAGTAAATCTACACACAAAGTAACAAAGAATATCAGGTTTGACAGAAACTATCTACTAGCTAATGAAACTAATTTAGTACTCAAACAGATGCATTTGTTTCTATTGAGCCACAACTTTATAATTTATGGCTTTTACTTTATAAACATGTCTCTTCCGCCATGTTACCAACCGTACAAAAGTCTAATTTATTCTTCATATGGATCTTCATTCTTCAAACAGAATCGCCTGCAGAATTTTCAGACATCACATGAGTTGAGTGACAACAGCAGGGATGGACTCTGGGTAATCTGAGCAAATGTCATCATTGACCTGTATCTTACATCAATATTGTAGAACGACTTACCATATAGGCACAGATGGTCTGCACCAAAGATGGATGTTACAGAGATGTGAGCGGTTTTGCTGAAACCTAAAGGTTTATCTTGGGCACCCACGTTTTTCTGACTGCAAATTGATATAACGTTGTTATATGTAATGCATTTGTATATTGTTTTGTATTCTTTATCCAGCATATTAGTATGGGGTAGGTAGTTGTTTAGCAATATAGTTTCATAAAAGCTTTAAATTCATAAAATTTAGTCTTTCACGCATGTCTGCTTCTGCTGCCAACCCGGGCAAAAATGGAAACAACAAGCAAAAAGGAATTTCCAATTTTGCCACAAAATTTGAAAAAAATAATAATTCTTGACTACAAAATGTAAGTTAGATGCCTCCTTGGATAAACCAGCTGTTTACCTGCATGATATCTGGCTAGGAAGTATAGGAATGGAGTGATGTGATGTCACTCCATTCTGACACCAAGATGCTGATATGCCGACGTGACTGACAAGATATGCCCTGCTTTAGAAATGTGTCCCAAACAGGGTGTAATGACATGAAGAGGTGCTGCCCTGGAACAGCACTGTCCCTTTAAATGTGGGAACCAATACAGCAAATAAATAAATGCCAAGACACAAATGAATAGGTTAAATCAAACGATATATATATTACAGAGAACCAAAAGACAAAACAAACAATATATATACACAATGCCACAAAATATATACAATAAATCAGGATAAGCACGAATAGTGCAGGCAACGTATACTGGTATACTACGTATACTGGTAGTCCTTTGGTATAAGGGCAAGATTGTGCAGTTACCATGAGTAGTAGGTAGGGCACAAATCCAGAGTCACAAGACTAATATACTGACACCAGGAAGCAAGGTCAGAAGCAGAATAAATGAACAAGGCTGCAGGGTCAGGATCACTGGTAATAAAGCCGAGAACACGGAACCAGAACACAGGATCGGAGGGTACAGGAACGAAGGACCAGGAGGACACAATAACGCAGGATCAAGAGGACACAGGACGAAGACCAGGAGAACACAGGAACGAAGACCTGGAGCGCAGGACACAGGACCAAGGAACAGTATGCAGGATCAAGGAGTCAGGAGCCAGAATCACAGGGAACCAGGAACCAGGGAAACAGGAGAGAAGAGACAATGATCTGGCCAGGAGTGAGGGGAGAAACCAAACTATATAGGTACTAAACAAGGACCAGGTGAAGTGCTAATGAAAAGAAATAAGAAACAGTGCCAAACAGAGATAGTGGTGTGAATGGGTACTGCACGAGAGAATATCAACTAAGGAGTGTGTTTTGACACAGGGCAAATCAAAGAAGACTTTGGGAGGAGTGCAGGCAGAGCGGAGGACAGCCAGGAGGTGTGTGTGTTACATTAAGAGGCACTTTAACAGAGGGAAACTGAGTAAATCTTTATATTTTACATTGAATACACTATGTATCTTTGTGATATATGGTGTATTCCATGCCTAGGGGAACCATTTCAGAGAAATTCATTTTTTTCAAGTACAAAAACAATGAAAGGGTGTATAGGCGCTTCAATAAAAATAATTATACTTAGTGTGCACTTAGGTGAATGAAAACAGGTGATTCCCCTTCCACCTTGAAATGACAATGTACAACACATAATTATTTTTATTTTTTTTAAGTTCAGACACCATAAAGTGACAACACTATAATAATTATATAAATAAACTGGTGTGAAGGCTTCCAATATGATACACAGTAGCAATCTAAAACACAAATAAAATACAGGCACACATAGTGTATTACATAAAATACAATTGGCTAAAAATGGTAAAATGACTCACAAAAACACCAGGTAAAAGAAATGCAAAATCTTGAGCACACTTTATTAATATAAAATAATAAAAAATATATATAATAAGGGGACTAATAATAAGCAGTAGGTAACTGATAAAAAGTAAAAAAAAAGAAAAAAAACAATAGTAATGAAACAAAATCTGTACAATGCAGTCCAGCATAAAAATGCAGAATAAGCAGTGTAAGGTACGCAGAAAATTAAGAGAAAAGTATACCACACCTCATAAAACAAGAGTCCCAACAGAAATATGTAAAGCAGGCAAATACGTTTTGACCTAGAGTTTTTTTCAGTGCCAAGATGTAATGCCCCTGAACGCTGCTCCATTTTAAGTCACTGGCTTGACTGTTTGATTTGGTGCATCTGTAGTGGCGCAGATAAAAACCTAATTGTTGAGTAAAATCCTTAATATTAAATTATTTATCCTTCTTATATATTAAAAGTTCTTCCCTATTGAGTGATAGTCTCCTGCTTTTTTTTTTTTAAGATTTTCAACATTATAAAAAAACAATCTTTCAGAACAATTTTTTCAAACATTAGATTGAATATCAAATTGTTGAGCATCACTAAAGTTTCTTAATACTCTAATAAATTGTCCATTGGGAATAGTGGACAACCTAATCTATTTAACTATTAACGTCAACTTTTTGAAACAGGTTTTAGTCTTTATTGTCCCAGCCTCAATATACATTTCTAAGTCTAAGAAATGCACCATATAAGAACTATATTCACAAGTAAGAACTATGCCACTTTTGTTGTTATTTAATATATTTAGAAACTGCTGTAAAACATCCTCGTCGTTCCTCCAAATAAAAAAGATGTAATCGATATATCTGCAATATAGAAGCAAGTTTGCATGCCAGAAGCCATACATCCTGCAGAATATTTCTTCCCAAAAGGACATAAACAGGTTGGTATAACTGGGTGCAAACTTGGTTCTCATCACAATCCCAAATAGATGTAAGTAAAAATGTCCAATGAATCAGAAATAATTAATCTGTGAAATAAAGTTGATCCCTTCAGCAATAACATCCATTTGGATGTCTAAAACCTGGCTTTTCTTAAGAAAATATTTAACAACTTTGCAGCCTAATTCATGTGAAACAATTGTGTATACGCTACTGACATGACAAGTGTGAAGAATCTACTCTTTCTATTCAGTAATTTAGATTTTTTCTTCGTTCAGTAGGTTTAACTTCTGAACACTGACCACCCCCCTGGCACATTGACTACAAAGAAGACCACAAATTAAGTGCTCTCTCTGTGTGGCCGCCGTTTGTATAGCCGAACGCCACGTGCAGGAGAAAATGGTAGCCATATTGGTCACATGAAAAATAGGCAGCGGGACTTGGTCGTCGAGTGTCTGGAACTAAAATTGGACACTCGGCTTCCCGAACGCCGGTCAATTTTTCGAACGACTGCGTCTTTTCACAGACCAGCCAGGAGAGAGCTACTCGGTAGGTTTGTTCCCACGAACTAGGGGAAAAAACGCTACCTTTGAGCCAGGGAAAATGGTTGTGGATTTGTTTGGTTTTTAAACTTCCCGAAAAAAAACGACCGCGAAGCCTAATTTCATGGAATTCATTCTGGGCAGGAGCCTTGTGTGCAGTCGGCCAAATTAAGACTTCCACTGAACTCCCGAACCCCTGAACCGATCTGGGTGATTTATGAATATGTTGGTCTCCAAGATCAGGTCTATGAGGGGATATAACGTGTGTGGGGTTTCCATGAGGTTTGTGGTACTTTCTGGGTTTTGTGGAAATGTGTGTTTTTTTGTTGCGAGATAATTGAGTTTAGTATAGTGCTTGACTCAATTATCTCCCAGGCACAGGGAAAGGATTATATTATTTTATGTAGGAGTGTCCTGGACCTGAGAGCCAATATAACTGCAGAATGTATTTTGTCATTGTCTCCTCTCAGGTGCAGGGGGGGAACCCTGTACATTTGTAACTGCATATAAACCGGCCAGTTGGCCTTAATAAAATTACGCCTGTTGTACCCTTCATCTAGTCTAGGCTGATGTTTGGGTATCCGTCTGATTTGCTTGGTGAATATACTTGGATGCTGTGTTTCATCTGGAGAACGTTCCAAAGAACACCTGAACTGCGAGCTATAATCACTCAGCCTTTAGCAGTTTGGGATGAAACGGACGAACAGGTATCTGAAATACCAGTGTTCGTTACAACAAGTAACTAAAATAAAATCATCCTTCCATTGAACTCATTGTAGATCTTTCAAGAGTTGGGTGGAGTCTCTCAAGTATGTAGGTTGTGATTTAACAAGTGGCTGAAGTTGCCTATCTATATACTCTGAGAGACGACTAAGGAGGGAACCAACCCTGGATACTATAGGTCTTCCTGGGGGGTTATTTTGGATCTTTATGTAGTTTTGGGAAAGTGCAAAAGACCAGTATTTTGCACACCTTTAAATCCAAATAATGATATTCATTTTTATTTAATATTCCCAAGGATTTTCCTTTATCATTAAAAACTTTATATTTTTCTTTAATCTTTTATCTGTGAGGTTTCCTGCAAATGTTTATATGTTGATGAATCGTTAAGCTGTCTATAGACCTCTTTTACATAGGTCTTTCTTATTTTGTTTTATGATGACATTTGTGTCCTTTCGTAAATCCTAAGGGCTTTTATTTGGGGAAGATCTAAATTACTCTATTTATTTTTATCAGTGATTTGCTTTATCTCGTTCATAACTAATGCTTCAAAAACTCGAAAGGCCCCAATTTTAAACTGTTTTGGATAATATTTACACCTATCTTTTAAATCTGTGTGGATAAAATCATCTGAAATTTTTTTGTAGGGTAAGGGCATGTTTTTCTTGTAAACTTGTGAATATCTATTATCGTATTAAACGGTTGGTTAAAACAAGTAGGGGCATATATTAAACATTTATTAAGAACGTTTACGTGATCCTTTTTAAGAGATTTATGTGACAAGTTGAAAATGATTACTTAAGCTTGATGAGTTCATGCTTGTTAT